ACTTATATAATGTATCAATTTAGAATGAGTAATACTAAACAAACAAACTTTTATTACTTTATCAACTGATGTAGCAATGTTTCACTTGTTTCTTATCAACTTTATTTATTTGTAACAAATAAGAAATTGCCTCGTCAATTGATAATTCAATAACTCTTTATTTGAATGACATCACAACAAAGATGGAAATACATAAATATCAAACATGAACCCGACTTACTACATTAATGTAGATTTATTCTTGTAAATTTTCATGAGGCATGAAATGCTTGCAATAAGCAATCCATGGCTACCATGAACCATTTAGTTGGAAGTAGTAGTGGTGCTCTCAAAGCGGCCTCGGAAGAAAGCAACTAGTTTATCTCTTGGAGGCAAACTTTCCTGAAGAACATTGACAAACTCATCACTCCAATCGTATAGCTTGGGAAGCTTCTCTTTGGTCAAAATCTCCACTCCCACAACTTCTTGAATGGCTCTCAGCCAGTAGGCTATGAAGTTACCAACAATATCCACAAGGCCAACTTTCTCTCCCCCAAAGAACTTGTTACCCTTGAGCTCATGTTCAAGTAGTTTCAGAAGCTCACATGCTTCTTCCACAGCCTTCTCATGTTCCTCACTACCCCAGCAAGCATTCCATATTGCAGGCAAGCACTAAAAACAAATAAAACAAATAGAAAACTTATATTAGTGATTATGTTGTGGTGTTTGATTGATTCAAATCTAGGTTTATTTTAAGCTAAATTTCTACTAACAAATTGTATTGACATGTACACTCACAAATCAGGTTAAATCGCATACACACAGACTGAAGTGAAACATTTTTACCTTTTCATCAATGAACCTAGCCCAGAAGCGTGCACGGGCTCTTTCATAAGGATCTTCAGGCAAAATGGAAAAACCCTGCTTCCAAGTCTCATCAATATATTCAAGAACGACTTGGGACTCTGCTATTGGTTTGTCATTGTGCAGAAGCACAGGGATCTTCTTGTGAACTGGGTTGGATTTGAGAAGCAAAGCACTCTTGTTTTGCAGGTCCTCTTCAAAGAACTCATACTGCACCCCTTTCAGTCTCAGAGCTATTTCCACTCTGGAACTAAATGGGCTTCCCCAAACCCTCAACAGCTTCACTTCCTCACCCATTATATCACTAATCAATCAAGTTTTACTCTAACCCTTTTTGTATATATGACCGGATTTTCCTTCTGGGTTTTATAGGAGCAAGAACAGTGTTAACTTGGGCATTAAGACACCTCTACACATTGTTCAAAAGTCAATAATCATTATAAATAGTGAGTTGGTGGGGGAGAGATATAGATAATGCTTTGTTGACAATTTGTTCATTGAAACTTGCTACTCTTCTTTTCCCTGTTTCAAAGGACTATGTTAGCATTTGTCTTATTTATTTACTTTATCTACATTGAAAAACGATAACAGCAAACCACATGAACTCATCTGCAATTGACAGTTCTTAGCCTTCCCCATTGGTCATTGACTCGGTAGCTTTGATTGGTTTTATCATTTCTGTCGGTATTCTATTACTCCAACTTAGGTAAATTATAAAATTTCCATGTGATGGCCTAGCAGTTAGAACACTTCCAGCGCAAGCCCAAACCCGGGTAAATGGCAGCCCCAGGCCACAAAACCACCCTCCAGCGCGCGCAGTCAAGCCAGGGCAAGCCCACAGGAAAAAATGCATTGGGTTGTTGGCCCAAGGCTGCCGATGTCAGCATGACATCACGCTGACATCAGTGTCTGATGTTCAAATTTTTTTTACTGTTGGTGCAGAACAGTCACTGAACCCACCAGCCCACATAAACTAACGGCTGCAAGCCATGTGGCTTCTCCTGGAGCCTCCGATCCAAAAATCTTATCCAATTCAACGGTTGTCTAATTTTTGGCTAAAAAAATTGAAAAAATATCTGGAAATTTTTTTTTATAAACACCTACCAATGTTATTCACTTTCCACACCAAATCTTCATACAAATTCATTTCCTTCCAATATTTTTCACTTTTCATACCAAATTTTCTACTACAAAATTTCATTTGTGCAAAAATACAAATGACATCTTCCATCGAAGCCGGAGGGTTGTGGACAAATGTTCAAAGAGGTCAAAATCTTGGCCACGTGGTAAAAAAAGAAGAAGGCATTTTATTCAATTTATTGTCATTTTTTTAAATGTATATTTCTTGCATTTTCAATTTTATTTTTTTAATAGATTATTCAAGGCAAAAAAAAAAAGAAAAAAAGGAAGACAATTACACATGGCTCCTCAAGGTGAACAATGCTCCGTGTCGGAAATAATGACACTATTACATCCTCAGAAGGAAAAATACTCCCTCACGTCGTAATCCAATGGAACTGCCTTCGCCAATGATTGAGTCGTCCTTGCATTCGATTGTGTCGGACTATGAGGACCAGGAGTATTTCAATTGTATGATGAGTGAGATGTGAATTTTATAATAAATATGGACGCGTGGCAACCGAAAATCTTGTCCAATAATTTTATCTGAAATTTTAGGTGAGAATTTTGTAATAAATAGTGACACGTGGCAACTGAAAATCTTATTCGAAAAGCTTATCAAAATTAATGATTTAAGTATAAAAAATAGAAAATAAATTAAAATGAATAGTAATTGACCTTGCCCTTGCCTTTTGGGGTGGAATAAAAAATGGCAAGGCTGCCACTATTTACATGAATAGTGACAAACATTGTCTTACCTTTGCCTTACCCTTACCCTTTGAGGTGGAGGTGCTCTTGATACTGGCCTCAATAATCTGCGTTGGGCTTAAACCTATTAGCTAGAAAGATAGAATTGGGCTCCAAAATTATATTGCCGGTTGGTGCCTTGGTCTTCAAGCCTTGAAAGTGGCTTATGCTTATTTCCATTCTACACAAGGCAGGCAGGCCGTCAAAAAGGCACAAAGCCATTGCAATAGTTTGCTAGGATACAAGAGATATCAGAGGAGGGAGAATTGAACCTAAAACATTTTTTGATCGAAAAACTTGAGGCATTTTTTGGTCGAAAAAACCTAAGACATTGAGTGCACAGTTAAATGCTCTTAATTAACCACTTGAACTACAATTCCTTTACATACTCTTTCTAATCTTGCCATGCCTCACTTTGATTTTTTCAATTTTCAAAACAGATAACTTGGTTCTATTATGCTTAAATCACACTTTTAGAGCTATGATCTTTAATGTAACATTTGCAAGCAACATTAATGATTACAAATGTGGTCCATCAAAAAGCTCTGGCTCATTCTACATCTTTTTTTTTTAATTTGTAAAGAAAAGGGCTGGCTAGCTCCTGGAGCCATGACAATCAATGGAAACACAAGCTTCAAAAATCAAACAATCTAAAACAAGCAAAAAGTGCAACAACATAGGCTCATTGCTTTCTGTTTTAAAATTTCTTTCAGTCTATCAGAAGCAGCTTGGAATTGAAGCTTGTCTTTCCCTCTACGTTTTTTCAAAGTAGCAGTCAACATCAAACAAGGTGCTACGTCGCAGTTGAGAGGAGCCTTTCTTAACATACATTTTATATCAGTGAGAACAACCACCATCATCATTTCGTCAGACAGAAATTGGGATACATAAAGCCTTGCACGGAAAGTCACCAAAAAAAAGGGAGATTAGAGAATACCCCATTATTATACATTAAATAAGATTTAGTACCCCATTATGGATCCTAATTCTAACTCCTTCTAACTACTAGAAAATGCTTTCTGCTGTCTCGTGCATAAATGCTTAAGATACATTCCTAATTATAAAAGTTACTGCAATTAAAAATCCTAGCTAAGCAAAGCAAAGCATGCATAGAAAAAGAAAAAGGCAAGTGGGTATGTTTTGAATGAAATTAGCTTATGGGATTTTCATTTTTCATCTCCAAAATGCCCCTTTACACCTATTGAGGCCATAAACAAACACTGAAATTTTATTAAGTTTTAATGCCTCTTTCCAATTACATGTAAATTTTTATTCAATCTTATAAGCTTGTGAACAGCCAAATCTAGTAATCAAATTCATCCATCTTTTCTTGCCCTATTATAGGTAAACTTGACACTTCATAGCAATGTAAGAAGCAACAATGGAATCTTTATTAGAATATGTCATTTTGTTTAACTTGTAACAAGTCTGATATGATAAACTTTTAAAAACAAGGTGCTCTGTTTGTATAAACAATATGAAATTCATTTCAGAAGATTGAGGCATTCCACCACAACTTTGTTTTGTGGTTCCAAAGTGTTTTTACCCTCTAATTTGAATTATTTATTGCTTTTCTATGAACTTGGAAACTCCGCTGCTTCAAAAAGCAGACAGCTTTTTACTGGAATGCCCCAGACTACTTCTCAATGACCAACAGGCCTGCCATGCACAAAGAAACACTCTTTTTGGGTTCATTATCTTCTGCATCATCAAACTGATTTTGCTAAGATTCAACCCATTTCAGTCATTTTGGTACTTGCTTTTTTGTTGTTCTTTTTTAATTTCTGAATGATATGAAAGTGAAACAAGTCCCACAGGAACAAAGATATGGAACATATAAATTCTATACCATGCTTGTGTTTTACTTTATGTAAATAGTTATTAATAGTGTTACAGAAAGACAAAGAGGAGCGGAAGAATGGTAAAGGTGGAGACATTTCATCCTGTGATGAGCACGGGATCCCAAAAATTTTAAAGCAAATTCTCAACCACAAACATAATTCATTCAGGAAAGATTAGTAGGAGGAGGAAGAAGGGTAATCTGGTCACTTGACACCAAAACCAGACCTGCCTGATAACTTGATAAGCTACAAATTACAAACATAATCAAGGATAAATTGGTAGACATCATTGAGAGATCCGTCGATTACACGATTCCCATAACCATTGTTTATTGTATTTTTCAAACCCAAGTTAGAATTATTAATGCACACTTATCATTTTTAATCCTTGTAAGCAAAGCAGAGCAATGCTACAGAGAGAGAGAGAGAGAGAGAGAGAGAGAGAGAGAGCTAGCTGTTCATGTGTTTGAGCAAGCTTCCATTAATCATGACTAGCTTCACATTTATGTACATATAAATAAAGCAAGCTCCTTTCAAGAATATCCACCATTTTGTTTTCTATATTTTAGCAGCTGCCTTTCACTATCCGACATGGTTGAGACCTTATGGATAGAGCTTTCACTCACCAAGAGGAAAGAGAAAGAACCCAGCAGCTACAAAATCAACAGCTCAAGCTTTGTCTGCCATTCGTGAGGTTCAGAGGCTTCAACAACCACAACCCATTTTCTATTTTTGGGTTTTGGGCATCAAAGTTTCTTCGAAACTTGCATTGCAGAGCTCGAATATCTAATTCCTGTTGCTTGGGAAGGCTTCAGTACAATGGTATGGTAGTGAATAACTCTGCATTTTGCGAATCGCCTGGCTTTATTAAAGAAGGAAAAGCTGCAATGGAGGGTTTGGTTGAGAGAAATGAAGGCATTATTGAAGGGAAAAGAGAAGACTTTGGTGAATGTTTGGGTCAAGTTGGAACCTTTGGGGATTTGATTGAGGAGAAGGGTCGTGTAAGCAGTTCAAGTTCAGAATTTTTGACATCTGAGACGACGGGCCATGAGGAACACAGTCACAGTAGCTCTGATGAAGAGACATCTTCGGCGCCCTCATTGGGTTGGCCTATTCAGAAAGCTGAGGCATCAGATTGCACCAGTCAGAACGGTAGTGAAGCAGCAGAGAGAACCCATTTGGATGATAGGAACTTAGAGAAACAAGGGTCAACAATATCAGGTATTATCTCTATTTCATTCACACTAAGACACTTGAGGTACATGTCAATTTGATGCTTTTTCCTATTAATAAAAATTGATGTTTGCTTTATGGGATTGTAGAGACTGAGTTGATGAAGGAAAGGTTTTCAAAATTGTTGCTTGGAGAAGATATGTCAGGTTGTGGAAACGGGGTTTGTACAGCATTGGCTATATCAAATGCCATTACTAATCTTTGTGGTATGCAATTTTAGTCTACTATCTCAATGTGTTCAAACCTAGATTGGTTGATTTAATCTGTTAACGGAAATTTCGTTATGGATTCATTTGTGGTGATGGTTATTTTTCTTATTCTCTGTTCCCTCTTGTAGCTACCTTATTTGGGCAACTTTGGAGACTAGAACCTCTACCCCAAGAGAAGAAACTGATGTGGCGAAGAGAGATGGAATGGCTTCTTTGTGTGAGTGATCACATTGTTGAGTTGATACCTTCTTGGCAGACTTTTCCTGATGGGAGCAAATTGGAGGTAAATTCTGAGTCCAATAGATTTTAGGAACAGTATAATATCTCTCAGTTTTCAGTATGCACTCCCTTTCGGCAATTATATTATACCGAGTCAAGTGACCAATTCCAATGTATAAATAGCAATGATGAAACATATGCCATCTTTAATTTTGCTGCATTATAAATGGTGAACTTGAAATGGGCATGGAGCCTTTATACTAATGTAACTGCTGTGATGCTTTGTGATAAGAAACTATAGTTTAGGGCAATGAAAATGTTGATTAAGGAAGGTACTAAATGATCAGTTTCTTGAAATTGTTCTTACTCATTTACACTTCAATGCAGGTCATGACTTGCAGACCCCGCTCAGATCTTTATGTTAATCTCCCTGCCCTTCGTAAATTGGACAACATGCTTCTTGTAAGCTTCTCAGACACTTCTACAACTTAGATCCAGTTTCATGAGTTCCATTCTGAGTTTAGCCATTCCTTGCAGGAAATATTAGATAGTTTTGTCAATACAGAGTTCTGGTATGTTGACCAAGGGATTCTAGCCCCAGATGCTGATGGGTCATCCTCTTTCCGAAGAGCCTTTCAGCGTCAAGAGGAAAAGTGGTGGCTACCTGTGCCACGAGTTCCTCCTGGTGGACTCCATGAAAACACAAAAAAGCAACTGCAGCACAAACGCGATTGCACGAGCCAAATATTAAAAGCTGCCATGGCTATTAATAATATCACTTTAGCAGATATGGAAGTGCCGGAATCATATCTGGAAGCTCTTCCAAAGGTTTGAAATATCCTCTAGGTTCCAGTGATTTGTAATTACAAAGGCATGGTGCTAAACTTTTGCTTTAACTTGGTTTCAGAATGGAAGAGCAAGCTTAGGGGATCTTATTTATCGATACATTTCATCAGATCAATTCTCTCCTGAATGTCTGCTTGATTGCCTTGATTTGTCCTCTGAACATCAAGCCATAGAGATTGCCAACAGAGTGGAGGCCTCAATCTATCTGTGGCGCAAAAAAGCAAATTTAAAACCCACAAATAATGCAACCAGATTTAGTTCGAGGTCATCATGGGAAATGGTTAAGGAGCTGATGGTTGATGCAGAGAAAAAGGAGTTGCTTCCGGAAAGAGCAGAAAGTCTCTTAATGTGCTTGAGGCAACGCTTCCCTGGTCTTCCACAGACAGCCCTCGATATGAGCAAGATTCAGTACAATAAGGTTCCAACTTGGTCCCAATCTAAAATTTGTTCTCGTTTTTGCCTTCAATTTCTTCTTTCCTTTGTACTTAGCTGGTTGAATTTGATATATCTAGGATGTTGGGAAATCCATCTTGGAGAGCTACTCACGGGTTTTGGAGAGCCTGGCATTTAACATTGTGGCACGTATTGATGATCTGCTATATGTAGATGACCTGACCCGCCATTCTGATCAGTTCTCATCCATCTCCAAAGTTAGTATCATTTCACACAAGAGCACTCCTAATCCATACACAGTGCCCATCTCAAGCACTCCATACAAAACAGCTTTCACCACACCAAGCTTTTCACCTGGACAGCTAGTTAGCCCTCTCAGGGGAGACAGATCACCATTCATCACCAGTGGCAAGATTCCTCAGCGTGGATTGGGCGTAAAAAAAGTATTGACTGATTATCTGAGTATCGATGCGAAAGGAAAGGACTACGGCGATCCAATCGAGAAACCAGATTCTGTATCGAACACAATGCAAGAGACGCTGGGATCTCAAATGGGAATGGATTCTTACCAGTGTACAAAAGCATCAACAAGCCCGGCATCGCGGGATTCAATCACACAAGAATGAATCGATAGGCCGGTTGCCCATGAGTGTTCAGCTGCTTGAACTAGCTCCTTTGTGTTTGGTTTTTTTCTTAGACATAGGAGGGCATCAGAGAGTGGGGAAGGCTCATTGTTCATTAAGGCTGTTGACTCTTGTTAGAACAA